AAAACTTGAACTTGTTTTAATTAAAGGTGAAAAAGCTTACACTCAAACTATTTTATAACATATATTTTTTAATTTACAAAAACTCAATTTATCGCAATGCCATTGGATGTACAATATTTTTGGTTAATCCTTGAGGCGTATAAACAAACAAATTAGATGGTTTTCCAACTCTGGAACACGCAACATATAATTGGCCGTGAAAAAAACATGGGTTTTCTAAATCTAAGCCACAAATTGTCATTAATTAAAAAAACATTTTCCAGTGGACCAAATTGTGAATCTAAACCATTCTCAAATCCCCTTTAACACACACAAAAAATTTCATCAAAATCGGTCCAGTCGTTTAGGAGGAGTTCAGTGACATACACACGCACACAAGAAATATATATATTAAGATAAAAAGTTTTACATATTAAGTAAACACAAAGTTCAAGAAGATCACAAATAATACTACNTTGTTATTTACAAAAGCGACAATTTTCTTTTAAAACATTTTTATTCTATACAGGTGTCTGTAAAATGTTGACACAGACGAAGTGTTAGGATAGAGTATGTAAGTAAATTTGAACAAAAAAGTAATATATCATTTAGCACAATTTGCAATAGTTCTTGAGTGATTAATGAACACATGTGTTCCAATTAGCGCGTGGGAAGCGATGGTCTGAAATCTGTAGGCATGATTATCAGTTCTAAAAGAAAAATAGCGTCCTTCAAGTTATCTCCTGACAGCAAGAGGCGGAGCAAACAAGCAATTAGCGAGTGACATAGCTTCTTGCGATCAGCTGATTTTTACAACAAAACATCATACACACCTACACAGTCCGCTTCCTACGCGTTCACTAGATCACATGTATAAATTAATCACTCAATAACTATTGCAATTTTTGCTAAATGGTACATAACTTTTCTGTACTGATTGATNCAATCTATCCTTACACTGTGGCGGCGTTAAAATTTTTCACGTACTCTGTACAGTAATACATTCTTGTACTTTTCAAAATATTAATGTGTACTTAGTAAAAATTTATCTGGTTTTTAATAACGTATTACAATGAAAGAAATGTTACTATTACATGTAGCATATATAAAATAAATATATAAAATGAATCAGCTCGTGAAAATGAAAACAAAAATGTGCTACAGACCAATGCAAATCAAAATAGTTCATGTTGACATATATATTATAATTATTATTTAAAGTTGCTAATTACAAATTTTATCCTATGTTGGATTTTCTTCAGTGATATTATTTTTAAAAAAAACGTAAAAAAATACTCTAACATACAATTAATGTACCTATATATTTACTTATACATTTAGACATGTAAAAAACTTAAAATACATAAATAAATCCATTTGACTTAAGAGAATAGCAGGTTGACAACAATATACAGGGTGAGTCTGATAAAACGGTCAGCACGTTTTTCTCAAAAAACGGTTAGAAATAGAGAAAAACCTCCATTATCAAGATTATAGGATTACAGGGACATACTCTAGTAACCTTGAATGATCTTTAAAATTATTTTTTTACTTTATCAATCTCAATTTTGTTGTCTTAAAAGGAAAGGAGTACTTTTGAGTTACTCTGTCGATAGTACTCAATGAGCTTAAAACCTTTTGTATGTACAGTATCTTTCTGAAACTCAACAATTGTTGAGATCTAAACAAAGGTAGTCGAAATGAAAACTATAGAAAAAATCTTATTACTATTACAATAAGTGTTCAAAATGTTCACTATGTTGTTTCAGATATGTGCCTATAGTGTTTGTGGAAAGCTTGGTGGGATTTTTTTGGGCGGGTTCCGTTTGACCACAGTACGATTCGACACCGCTCGATTCGACACAGATTTATTCGACACCAAATTATTCGACACCGTAC